ATCTCACATAGGCAATCAGGTTTATACCGAGCCCGCGTGCCTGGTTGTATGGTCTCCACTGCTGCTGAAGTCCTCCTTTCAGCTGCAAGTCAAGACATGACTGAAATACAGGTAAATGGTTGTAGTATACCCAAATTTTCACCCGTGAAAGCTGGGGAGGAGAAAAGACTAAGCGCCAGGGCTGATGCCATGCTGCGAGACCAAGCGCTGCGCTGACAGGCAGCATCGCAGTGCATCTCTGGGGCCGTCACCGACAGCTTTTGTGTGATTCTTGTACCTCTCCTGTCTTCCACCAGTAACTCCTACTGCAATTAGAGCTGGCAGCTGGGTGACCAGTTAGTATGTACACGTCAAAGAGGCAGAAATATCCTTTGTAACAGACCTTCTTTCCATTTTCAGTTGTGCCTACTGCTGCGTGGCCCCAACCACTGCCTGAAGTACCTCTGTGCGTCTTGCTAGCGGTAACGGGAGTTAATTGTGCAATGCTTCTTCCACAGGGAGACAGGCAAACTACAGCCTCGTCCTTCAGAAACCTCCATCTGCAACTGAGGTCAATGAGATTACTCCTCTGAACATCTATATTGCCTGAAGGACATCCTTCGCATTGCAAGGAAATTAAAAGCTATCTGAATTCTTTGCACAAAGTGAGAAGTGTGTTTGCAGATGGGAAGAAACCAGAGAGAATCGGATGACATCTCACTGTGACTCCAAACTTTGTCCAAGACACACGGGGAAGACAAACTCCAAGAAGTAAATGTAGCGACTTGCCAAACACTACAGGTTTCACAAGAAACTGTTCCTTGTACCCGTTTCTGCCCTGAGCTCCAGGGGAAACGGAAACCATCACTTGAATTTGGTCATTGTCCTTTATTAATTTTCACTTAAATTTTAATTCTCATCTGCAAGGTATTAGTACACGGTACCTCCTCCCTTCTCTCTGGAGGTCCGAGCAGCTCATGCCTGTGCAACCATTGCTCTCGCTAAGGGCTGGCTCACAGAGAAGACCTAAGTCCTGCAGCTTTTTGCTGCTCCCGAATGCTCTTCTCGGGCTCAGACAGCAAAATACCAATTTGGGGCATGGGGTCTGAGCTCCTGCCTGTGCTGCCTGTACAGCTGCTCAGCAGGCAACTGGGATGTCTGGGTCTGTGCCAGCTGGGAGTCACTGGGGCTGTTTTGCAGGGTGGTGCAGAGGGGGTTGTATCAAGGAAGATGAACTTTTAAATCCTAAGTTAATTGCATTCTGTCAAGGCTGTCCAAAAATAAAACCTGGGGAAAAAAAACCCCTAATTTCAAGAATGTAATACAACTTCCAAGTCACCTGAAAAGAAAGTGCAATCTAGTGCAGTGTGCTTTCACTGTCCCACTCTGTTCCTTCAGTTTCCTTCTGACTTCTTGTGCTTCAGCCTGTGTCCATGTATTGCAGGTATCTGCTTTGTCTGTGAAAATGAAATACCAGGAGGAATTGCACTTGGTGCAACTGGTGCATGTTTAGGGTTTAATTCACAAAAGGAGCAGGCCGCCCTGGGGAAACCTCAGTTGGACCATGCACAATAAAAGAGAGGAGTTACATGCCCAAGTCTGGCAAGTTTAAAGAGAAGTTGTCATTAAAAAATACAAATGCTTAAGAAAGAGCAGGGAGGTCTAGGAAAGACTGATCCCAAATCTCCTCTTGGCTCATGTACTCGAGCGATGGGTGCCCAGGTAATGCTAGCAGGCAGAAGAGTAGAGATTTGGAGCTTGGTTTTCACGCGTCCTTGAAAAATACTTCAGCCACTGAATATGAGGGAACTGTAAGGCCACCCCTTGTCAGATGCTCCCCAGTGAGACCCAGCTCAGTAACCGTGCCCCGAACTGTCTCATAAACTGGCCTTGCTGACCTCGATGGGTTTGGGGATTTTTACAGGACTTAGATACGAGCCGGGGGTCCCTGTGGTTGAGTTGTGTCAGCTTCGGTGGATACGTGTGCTGCAAGAAATAGGGGCACTGGTAGACAACTGGGCATGCACTTTATACACCTCTGAGGCTAATGAGAAGCAGCATGGAGTTTATCAAGGATCTTGGGAGTAAAGAAACATTAGACCTAAGTCCATAAAGTAGCAATCAGATGCCCAAATCCCTTGGGGAACCCAGCTCTAGCAGCCAATCCAACACCCCTGGAGTCAGGAACTGCAAAGGGTCCTGCAGTGGCACCACTGTGACCAACGGTACCAAAAAGAGTCGGAAACATTTAAATCGTATTACAACAGACTGCGTGTCTGCCTTTGATTGGACTCAAAAAAACTACAGAAATAGCTGGGGAGGTATGTACAATTTCCTATTACTTCACTGTATTTCCTAGGCAGGAATAGGTAGTTTGAAAACAATTTACAAACATTTAAACAGGTCCCTAATCATAGCTATACTATTTAACCTTTAAAAACAACTTACTGAAAAAATAAACCCCCTTAATTTGCAAATTTGTTATCAAAAAAATATAGTTCTTGAGCTCACAGAATGTTAATGCATTTGAACATGTTTTTATGAGTAAAATAATAAACCTAAGTAATTCTGCTGTGGCTTGGGGTCCTATCTATTCAAACTCCTAAGTCCTTCGGGACAGAGCCTGTCTGCCTCGATTTATGCAGCACTACACACAGCGGGGTCCATTCTAATGAGTAATAGTCCCCAAGATGGCAAGTGTACCAAGGTACAACCCTAAGAGAGGTCTAGCTGAAAAAAAAAAAAAGATCAGAGCCCCATTCACACTCTTAATAAACAAACACATAAATCATCATAGTTAGAGATGTACCCCTGCGGGTAATCCTGAGGGAAAAGAACATGTTTTCATCCTTTTGGTTCCCTGCTTCTGCTGTTTCCACAGATGTCCCCCGAGTCTCTGGAAGGCGCCTTCCTGAGCTGGGTCTTTCCAATCAGTCTGAGTCTTTCCCAGACCATAACCTGCCCCTACACATCCCGCTTAAATTTATCCTTCAGTGGGCTTCAAATTATGCTCACCGAGCACTCTGACCTCTGCCTGCTTCTTCAAAGGGCCACTCAAAGGTAGGATCTGAGATGGAGTGCACAGACAGACAGGCACTCAGACTCATGGACCTTAGGGAGTCTCTCTGCCACCAAGGAAGCTCCTGCCAGACGAATGCCTCTTGAATGCGGTCTCTGCCATACCACGTACTCTTAAGTATGAGTCTGCATCAGCTAGAAACAGAATACAAACATCATTGCCTGTTTCTGGCCAAATGCATCTTGATAAAAGCTGTGACTATGTTTATACACATCCATGTGTGATGGTTTATCTGTTGCTCTGATTCATTCTCCTTTAGGCAAAAGATACAATCACTGCCGTACTCAGCTGGCAGGTGTGCAAAACCTCAAGTTAAAAGTTAGTTTTCCAAGGTTAAATTCCAAAATGTTTTGCGCTACTACAAATTTAAAGGAAAGCAAAAATGATGGGATACCCCCAACCCATGCAAAATGAAGTAAGTAAACAACAGAGTAAAATATCTATATGAAACTTAATGGAAATATTTTCAGACATTTCTAATAATCCTAATTTGTTTTCATCAGCTTTTTCAATTTATTCAGCGATCAACGTAGTACTCATGATCTTGCCTATAATTTCCCAAGCAGTTTTCAAGAGCAGGCCATTGTGGCTTCTCAGACTTTATGCTTAAGTCTTATTTCTTGCTGGAATCAGCAGAAGCCTTTTTATTACCTTCACGGCATTAAAGGAGTGGCCTAGCACAGAGAATTTAGAGAAACGATCCAGAGCTGTGCATATATTTCTGGAAGAGATTTGCAGCAATTCCTCTGCACCCATTTGTCATGCTAAATTAGACACTTAGACCAGGTTTGCTTCTGGTTCTTCAGCAGTTTGGGCTAGCACAGGTTCAATATGTCTTAAGACAGCAGCAATTGCCTATGGCCAATTATGACTTAGTACCAATGTTTTGAGGGAAGCCAGCTTCTGGGGGAGCTCCAAAGCAGTGCTCTTCTGTATAACCTACACAATCAGATTTGTGGGGTACAAGTACAGGGTTGCGGCCCCCAAAGAACTGCAAGGAAATAATTTGCATGAATCTCTGCAACAATATTGCAGAAGCAAAAGATGCAAATTTAGGACAACAGAGAGCCTCCATTCATTTTAGCTACTTACTTTCATGTAAAAGTAATGAATAAGCATTTCAGTGGTGATGCAATCATTTGACACCAGAGGTGCATACTGGCTTTTCTTGCATTAAATGAAGTCAGTATCGAAGCTGACAATTGCCTGGTTTCAGTTATTCAGTAGGTAGGAACAGTTTTGCACATTTTAACATGGTTCTTGATAATCCCCTGACTTTTAAGAGTTAGGTAGCAGGTAGAGTTTCACACAAGACTGGCTAAAAACCATCATTTGTAGCCAGGGAAATGCAGCCCATTCGATCCTTTACCACTAAAGTCAGTAGGATTATTCAAGTGAAGCACAATCACCCTAAAGCTGGTATAACTGCAGTCACCTACGTGTATGTTATATACAGGCTTGCCATGAGGAATTGCTGAAGAGCATTGAACACAAAATTCAGGGCCAGAGCCAGACTTCAACAAACTGTGAGATACCGGTTTAGCCAAACCTTACCAACCCCAAGTTTGAATCTGGAGCTGGACCTGCCCATTTTATGCATTTTAACACAGAGTTTGGGTTCAGGCTATGTTCTGAAGAAGAACATGTTGGTTTTGACACCATCCTAACCATACACATCATCCTTCTATAGTTGCATCAGATTCTGCATCAAAGACGTCCAAGTCTCTTCCAAAAACCCCTTTGGGGAAAATCGTAACATTACGGTAAAGATGTTACTGCATATTAGAGAAGACTTATAAAACCCCCAGCAACTAAAATGCTGAACGCCCAATGAATACCAAGGCTGTCTCTGAATTTAAAACTTTCCAGTAACTTACAGTAATAATTCCACCCTAATCGCCATTTTATTTTTATTAAAGAAACAAAAGGAATTTCAAAAACTCTACCTAGAATCACTCGTTTCTGCCAAGCGGTTGTTCATGATGGCTAGAGCACCCACCCCTGCGGAGAAACCATTTTGTCTCGTATTGATACAAACGTTCCTCGGGTAGCCATTGGCCGTCTCCGACAACTGCTTTTGCAAAATGGCCAGGGAGACTTTATTCGATGCCGTGAGATCCCTCATGGAGATCATCTCTCCAGAGAGCCTCCTCCCCTCGGTGTCACTGTCGTACTGTCCATCAGCATCTATTGAGATGTTATGTCGACGCAGGCGGGCTCCTGGGGTGATGGCGTTGCGACGTCCGAGGCGGGCACTTGATTTATGGCACTTTGGGCAACATCTGCATTCGAATTTTTTCAACACCCAGTTCAAAACTTGCTTGATTACAATTGAGATGACATTAAAAAGAGAGTATATGCAACATACCCCCATTAATATAAATATGAAGTTTCCGAATCTGTATAATCCCTGATTCTGGTATGCAGCGTTTTGGCTGCTTACCAAATCTCCAAAGCCGATGGTGCTGAAGGTGACAAAGCAATAGTACAAGGAGTCAACGTAGTTCCATCCTTCCACCGCCGTGTACATTGCGGAGGCGCAGCAGGAAAGGGTAATAGCAAAAATTCCCAGAATCAGCATCACGTGGTAAACGGATGGCTTCCACCCCACGAGGCTGCCCACCCCGGACATTGCTGGCCCCCTTCGGAAGTTGGGAGGTAGGAGACCGCTTCTTCGCAGCTGTCTCTCATGGCACGCTTTCATGATAAATGCCAGGAGAGAGATAATGCGCTCCAAGAAGAGGTTGAAGAAAAGGATAGTCCCGGCACACCCAAAAAGGCCATACACGATGAGGAATACTTTTCCAGCCACGGTTGCCGGTGTGGTCATTCCAAAACCTAAGGTGTGGAGATAAATGGCTAACGTTAGTGACATAGTTTTGCATGCATAAGCTCAGGACATATGTAACTTAATAAAGGTCCCATCTCACTGCACAAAAGGAGCGCTATCTCCAAGTCAGCTTAGGCCAACATGAAACCGAGTTTTGTAAAGAATGAAGAAGGCACCAGAAAACTCAACGAGATGACTAAAACTCAAGAGTGAGGAAAAAATCCTCGCAGAGATGAAAGGCAGTGTATTAACAGAGCAACGCCACTCTGTAAAAGCAGGTGGAAGCATTCCTGAGCCCAAACCTCTTTGAGGTGGGATGAGGCGAGAAGGCCATTTCTCTGCTCCCACGCGTGTGAGCCAGCATGGCCTGATGGAAAGTTTAAGCTCTCTGTTCACAAGCTGTAACCCAGTGTAATGCTTTTATCAAGGTCTGATTACACCATTCTTGCTGAGAAGTTTTCAGGTTGTATTAACAGGAAAAAAAACCAAACCACCTCCCAAGTATCAAAAATTGTTTTAAAAATAACAGCACTTTGAAGTCTTAACCAAATCCCAACTGCAACTACCCCACCTGGTATCAGCACAGAAGGAAGGAAAAGCCATCGGCAAGATACCCACACTGCGGAGCTGCCTGGCAGACTGGGAGCACTAGGATCTTGCAGACTGATAATTACAGCAGTGAAAAACACTGCTGCACAGTTGAACAGAAAAATCAGAGCATACAAACTCTGGAAAGATCCAGCAGCAATATTAATTCACCGCTTCTTTACAAGAGTTGTATTTTGACATTACTCCTACACGTAATTTCATATGTAAGCAGTAATGCCTTGTAGCTACAAATGCTTAAGTAGCAGCAAAAGTGATCTTAAATTTGCATGCAAATACATACAGTAAGTTTGCTCCACATTATTTGCTGATACCAGTTATTCTATGAAAAAGAATTACATATATTTCACATATTATCTCAGGAAGATTCTTCTGAAACTCAGTTCTGTAGGTATTGCCCTTGTTCTGCTATTCTTCCCTGTAAAACTGCTCAGTGGTTCAGTCAAAAAGCGTACTGATGGGATTGAGATGAGTGCTCATGTCCCATGAACAAATAACCACATGTAATTTAAATGAATGGTTTGTCAAAAATCCACATGCTGAAATTTCTTTATCCTATTGTTCCACGAAAATGCTGAGCAAGTAACATATTCAGGGAGGTAAATATCAACATCAGACCATATCAGTGAAAGGCTGTGAAGAAAAAGGAGCTACTTTTAGCATAGAGCATAATGAAATCATTAAATCCACTTTATTATCATGATGCACCTTTAAACAGCAACAGGAAAATATTTCCTACATATAATGAGTTGAGATTGCTGCTTGAAATCTATTGATTTATTTTTGTAATGGCTCTATTTTTCTGGGTAATTTATTTGTGCTACCTTTGTACTTCGTTGATACAGAATTTCGCATTTGTGGATAAAAGAATGTAAATGCTCCTGACAAGTAAACTTGGAAATAGCTTTTCAAATGACATGAAGGTGCATGAGGAAAGAGGTGGTCTACTTTCACAACAGATGTGGCATGCTTGGAAACATCTGTGTGCCAGCAATTCGGACTATACTGCATCACCAGTATCTTCACACTAGAAAAAGTCTTTTCTGTAGAAGACAGTGAAAAACTTGCAAAGTATTATCAGAAAATAACAAATTACCAAAGAGGTCATTAGATTTTGTTTCCTGGACCCACAGCCTCTCCATTTTGTTGTGCTACAAGACCCGCTTTGAGCAGATCCCACAAAGCCTGCCCTGGGGTCTCAGCCTTAACACGGGGGAATGGGAAGCTCTTCTCAGTTCCTCCTCCTCCTGTGCGGGATGAAGCTGTTATCTGGGTCAGGCTGGCTGCTCGTGGGACCCTTCTCATTTGATGATGAATATCCACTAGTGCCTGGTCCCCAGAAGAAGCCGGGGAGCCTGTTGCGGTTGCCAGCTAGGGATACATGGCCAGCTCGTTATAGAGAAGGCATCTGTTCGCCCATGCCTTGTCAGCGAAGTATTCAAACATGTGCTTCACAGCAAGCATGTGAACATCACCATCAAAATAAATGGGTTTATTGTCACACATATGGCTAGACACATTTATTAATTAAAAAAAAAAAAGAGAGGTAGTGACAGTTTGGATCAAGTTGTAAATGCGCTGAAGCATTTTAGTATTTTCTGGTGATCATTCATGAGAGGTGGTGAAGTTTGATATTTTTGATGCGGTTTGTTTAAGCAAGATTTTCTGAACCATAACGTTACCAAAATTCAGTATGTAGCTATGCAAGGTGAAAGGACCCAGCACAGCAAGGAGAGTGCTAAGAAATACATAAAACAGGCAAAAAGTAAGATCAGCCAAACATAGTAACTTCAGGTCAACAGCTAGCAGATAGAAGTGCACTCCTGTACTCTTCATCCGAGGTCTTCCTTCATTAGCCGTGTTTGTCCCTTCGGCACCACCTGGACCATGAGGGGTTAGTCCTGGTATGTTCTGTACAACACCTCTGAGCTCAGCCCCTGCTCAAGGCTAAGTACATCACGACTCCTAGATGAAACAAATTCATCCAGAACTGCCTGTGCTTCTGAGACAGTACAAGGAAAGAAGCACAACGGTGCTTTGCATTCTTCGTGGCCCTGACGCGGATTGTACAGGTACCTTGGGGTTGATTCTGTGTGGCTCAGACACAATATTTCAACGTCCCTCATGCTAATTCTGCCCCACTCTGCCCCACCACTTCGGATACAAGATCCCTGGCAGCATTAATTTCAGCTGTTTGATACTTCCTCTCCCCAAACAAACAGGATTAGCAGAGATGAGCTGATAAAAACTCTCAGATAACACTTATCCTTCAGCAGCCTCTCATGGGTAAGTGCTGGCAATTAATGAGTCCCTCATCCTGACTGGCATAATAGGTTTTGTGGTTACTGTTCTGCTCACCTGGATTTTTAATTTACTTAAGCTGGTGATGGATTCAAGAGGTAGTGAAACTGGACAAACTTGTGATATGCTTCCTATTGCTCTTGCTTTCTAGTCTTTTATCCCTTTTCTTATGGGTAAAAGAGATGGTTAATGCCAGAAAACAAAAAGAAATAGCAGTTTTAGTACCTGTGAGCTCTTCTCTCAGGCCAATTGATTTGGCAATTACCTTGTGCTACCGTATTTTGAGATTAAAAGGGGCAACAGTTTTCCAGTAAAGCTTTATCTACCCCAAGATGGAGAAAAGTTTTGGCCACCTCAAAAACTGAACACAAGAAAGTCTTCCAGCCTTTAACATGGCACCGTGTGCCCCTGCCTCTTTCAGCCAGCCCCTCAGCTCTTCTTATGCAAGTGTTCTGCCATGGGACTTGGCTCATGCAGCAAGTCAGCACAACTGAGCAATCATTTTAAATATCAGAGTGTAACAGCACTTAGATCATGAGAGTAGTATCAAGTCTATACCGTTATATAACTATAACGCAGCTACATTTAAAGGAATCAAAAGAAACTAAAATTGTTGAATATAACCTTTTAAACAAAAGATTTCCCAGAAATAAACAAAAAACCGTATAACCAGAATGCTGCCTCCAGAGGGAAAGAAGTTCTTGCAACATAAAGCCTAAGCTCTTACAGGACTGGTCCCCAAGAGATGGGGTTTACAGAACAGAGACAGATAAACTAAGAGCAAATTTTGTTTCATGTCTGTTCTATACTTGCTTTACTTCATGGCTTTCCAATGGTTGATCTTTATATATTTATGACTAACACGTGTACCATAGCAAGGAACAAAACATCATATTCTGAATTCCGTATCTGGGTTCTGGTGCTCCCGCCAACCCCTTTTCTACCTGTTAGCATTTCATAATTATTGTCCCTGATAGAGTCATACCTGTATATTTCACAACTACCTTTTATTTGTTCTATAGCTCCTCACCACCTAACAACCAGACACAGTTGCCTTGGATACAGGGTCACAGCTCGGAGTTGACGAAACCGCTGCAGATGGAAAACTTCTGCTGCATCCAGCGCTTTTACCCAACGAGTGAGAATACTACGAGGCAGTTCTTCCACCTGGCTTTACGTTTTCAGACTACAAATGAAAAACTTACTTTCCCTTTAATATCTTTGTCGGTCTGCTTTATTAAGATACCCCCCCCTTTGGGCTCAAACAGTAAATTGTTCTAGAGCTTTTCCATTGCCAGAGACTTTAATATAGAAGTTGCTGTGCAATCACATTTGATCTTATTTAGATTACTATCTGGAATCATAGACTGGTTTGGGTTGGAAGGGACCTTAAAGATCATCTAGTTCCAACCCCCCCGCCATGGGCAGGGACACCTTCCACTAGACCAGGTTGCTCAAAGCCCCATTTGACCTGGCCTTGAACCCTTCCAGGGATGGGGCATCCACAGCCTCTCTGGGCAACCTGTTCCAGTGCCTCACCACCCTCACAGTAAAGAATTTCTTCCTAATATCTAATCTAAATCTACCCTCTTTCAGTTTGAAGCCATTACCCCTTGTCCTATCACTACATGCCCTTGTAAAAAGTCCCTTTCTGGCTTTCTTGTGGGCCCCCTTTAGGTACTGGAAGGCTGCTATAAGGTCTCCCTGGAGCCTTCTCTTCTCCAGGCTGGACAACCCCAACTCTCTCAGCCTGTCTTCATAGGAGAGGTGCTCCAGCCCCTAATCATCTTTGCGGCCCTCCTCTGGACTCGCTCTAACAGGTCCATGGCCTTCTTACGTTGGGGGCCTCAGAGCTGGATGCAGTACTGCAGGTGGGGTCTCACCAGAGCAGAGTAGAGGGGAAGAATCACCTCCCTTGACCTTCTGGTTATGCGTCTTTTGATGCAGCCCAGGATACGGTTGGCTTTCTGGGCTGCAAACGCACATTGCCGGGTCATGTAGAGCTTCTCATCAACTAACACCCCCAAGACCTTCTTGTCAGGGCTGCTCTCAATCCATTCTCCACCCAGCCCATATTTGTGCTTGGGATTGCCCTGACCCA